AACTTATATCAGGACAGTTTTGCCTTCATTGTCACTTGAACAACTATTGGAATGTTGCGTATCAAATTTCTAGGTTAAACTGATGTCAGAATGCCGCCGACTAATCGGCAAACGTTACAGTCCTCGAATCGGGCGGAGCAGATGCGCCAGCTGGAGCAGCTGCAGCGCCAACAGCGGGAGCAGGAGCAGCAGCAACGAATACAGGTATTGCAGCGCCAGCTGCAGCAACTGCAGCAGCAACAGTCGCCGCAACAGCAACAGCAAAACCAGCCACCGCCACCGCCGCAGATAGTATTCGCACGTGGCAATCCGCCGGATAATTTACGTGGCGATGGCAATCGGGTCGTGGTCGTAATACCGGAAACACTATATCAAAGATTCATACGTCTCGTATATTTGTGGGCACTCTTATTCATAATCATCTGCTGCACCACCTGGCTGGTCATATCGGGCTTGCGAATCAATCTGCGCGATAAGGTGCCCGTGCCGTTCTATGTGTGGTTCATCTTGGCCATGATCGCGCTGATGGTACTGCAGTGCTGTCCGAAGACGCAGCGCATCTATCCGCTCAACTGGATACTCGTCTTTCTGGTTGTCCTCACGGTAACATTGGGCGGTGCGTATAGCATGGATCTGTTCGGCTGGAAAATCCTGCTGACCGGCATGGCCATATCGTTCGTTTTGGTTGCACTGTTTCACGTAATGGGCGCAGTCTGTCCGCAGGCCTGGCTGCCGGGCGGCCTGCTCACTGGCTGCGTCACGCTCCTCCTTGTAGTCGCCATGATGGTGTTCTTCTTCCTGATGATCTTCATGCGGGATCCGGTATATTGCCTAGTCTTCTTTGTCCTCCTGCTTGCGATGACGCTCTTGGCCATGCCATACCATGCCCAATTCATACACGGACGCCTCCAAGCCATACCTCTGTTCACAATGGGCACCTGTGCCCTCTCCGTCTTCATTGACTTTATCACCTGCGCCTTGTGTATTTCCATTTTCTATTTGTACTATATCTATACGAAAACGGGCGAATGGTTCAGCGTAGCTGAAGATTAGGTAAATAAATGTACTATATATATATATATATATATGTATATATATAGATGTACATATAAATATATATATATATATATATCATATATTTGTATGCACGTTCAGTGTATCCAGTAAATTAAAAATGTGTAGTAAATATTTAAATAAAATAAGATAAACAAGTAATAAACATAAAAAAAAAGTAATCAATGCATAAATAAATACTATACACCATGTATTAAATAAATTCCTTAGAAATATTGTAAGCGTTAAACAGTAGGAGGCATTCATATCGAAAAGTTAATAAAAGCGTCCACAAATAAAATATTAAAATATTATAAAATATATATATTATACTCCAGAGCCAAAGGCAAAAGAAAGCAACAAATTTCAGTTCGTCAATATCAATTCATTCATGCTGCTTTAATGTCAAAATTTAATTTTATTTTAATATTTGTTTTGTTTGTTTTTTTTTAATATTTATTTTAAAGTAACATTTATGAAGTTGTGCACGCCCTGGTTAGTATCTGCCGGTCCAGGGGTCCTTTCTACTGTCAAAAAGCGAGAAAGTTGCAAATTAACGAATGGATCGCCGTGAAGCCGATGTATATGGAGGTCCGCCGAATCTAAATTTAAGTCATGAGGTGCGCATCTATTTGCTGAGCGCTTTGTTTGCCGTTGCGGCCATGATCCAATGGATACTGATTTATGCATTTTCGGATTGGCGCAAATACAAAATGCCCCAGGAACGGTACGGCTTCTGGCTGATGGGCACATTCTTTGGCATCTGTTTGCTGTCGTGTACGCCGTTCGGTCGTCGCTGTCCCTGGAACGTGATGATCGTTATAATCATTGTTGAATCGTCCACGCTGTACATTGCGGTCGAGCAGCAGAATTCAAAAGGATATATGGTCAATATATATGCTGTCACAATTGTGCTCCTGGTGGTCATCACATCCATTTTCTATGGTGCGTACTTTCCAATGCGTTTGGTGCCAGGCGATCTGATGCTCAGCCTGGGCGTCGCCGTTGCCAATATAATGATGATACTGTTCTTCCTCAATGCGTTCATCATCAAGAACGATACTATATTCATTATAGTGCGTAACTACTTTGCCTTCACAGCGATCACAATGATCATGTATACGGCCACCATAATACACGACCGGCAATCCGATGTGCCCAAACACGAATATGTCTATCTCAGTGTTTTGCTCTTCTTTGGCCAAATGATACTCCACGAACGCATTCTGGCCATTTCCGCGAATACGTCACGATCGCATGCATGCGCATTACCAAAAACCAATTAGATCTATTCCAAAAGTGATTAAGCTAATCGAATATATGTATATATATTCACACTGTAATTGGTATTTCATTGCAACTCAAGTCTAAGCAAAAATATTGTAGCGCAACTCTTCAGCCTGGCCCATGGATGAGTTGCTTTCGGAGAGCGAGAAGATTGTAATTGTAGGAATATATTTGGAATGTACACATGGAAATTTCGTAAAGACAATAATACTATGACTATTTAACCCAATCAGAGACGAGGATATGCAGATATGTGATGCATACATATATTAGGACACATCATTGAAAATAAAAATTCAGCTGTTTGATCATTGAATACAATAAAAGTGGATTTCAACTAAAGCAGTTGCAGCAGTTGCACTTGTTAACATTTTCATTGTCTTTTCATAAATATGTATATGTATGTTTATACAGCTATATAGGAAACATATGTGCACTTGCTATACTCCACTCAATTCAATTGAATGGACGGCGCGTGCTGTTCGTCTCAGAGCACAATGTAAATGCAAGTGATATAAGTAAGAATCAGAAAAGGCACTTCAATTGTCAAAGTGGGGATTGTCTGGCTTTTGTTTAAACGGTAGTAAACAGGTGACTCAAGTGAAACAATAATTTATATTGATAATATAACAATTACATTGAGTACACTGTTGGCGAATCCTACAAAAAAAAAGGTGTCAATCAGAACAGATTATATAACTACAAAAGAATGTAAGGTGTGTGTGGAGAGAATTTGAGGGGTGGGAGAGCTCCTAAGGGGGCCGACAAGAACAGAGAAATGGAGACGGAGACAGAGTGAACGAGAAAAAGAGAGAGCAAAAGAAAAATAGGGTAAGGGTGGGCGACAGAGAGATAGAGGGAGAGAGAGAGGTGCAGTTGCCATCGTCGATTCCAAGATCTGAAGGATAGAGCGAAATAAAATAACAGCAAACGAGAGAGGCAGAGAGAGAGAGAGAGAGAGAGAGAGAGAGAGAGAGAGAGAGAGAGGATTGCGTAAGAGACAATAATATGCAGAGAATAACAATTTCGAAGAGGAAGAAAAATCGTTTTATAAAACAGATATTATTTAATTAAAACTGAAACTTCTCAATAAATATTTAAAAGTCTCGATTTGGTAAAAATTTATCTTATTTTTATCTGCATAATTTGTAGACCTGTTGGCTGCGGAAACTCGTGAATTTTTATATATATAGAGTACAATATTCATCCATAAATATTCATTTTGACAATTCAAGCTGTGTAAATATTAT